CTCAGGCGGTAATTAATTAAATCAAGTCAGGCAGCAATCAGTCAGTTAAATCGGGTAACAATGACTCAATTAAGTTGAACTGGGGAACAATGAATTTATTACATCAAGCCAGGGAACAATGAACCAATTAAATCAGCTGGAAGCCTCCACTGGTCCATCCGGAGCCTGGGCTAGGTGCCACCGGGGTGGGGGACTTGCTGCAGCCGCCTGCTCCAGGAGGAACATCACCACAGCAACTGAGCATCGCTGCTGACAGCCTTGCTTGTCCCCCCCCTGCCCAGAGCGCAGAAGGACACGGCAGGCTACAGCCAGTCTGATGAAATGTTTGTAATAAACCAAAGGGGTGGGGAGATGGAAACTGTCAGCTTCCAAATTAGCAATAGTGTTGCAGAAATTACTGGGCTGCCTCAGGATGAAGAAAGCTCTGCCTTTCAAATCAGGCTGATGCTGGATATCCGGAGCTGTCAGCTTAAGGAATGGGGAGGCTTTGATGGGTGCCTGACAATGGGTTAGTCTATCCTAACTAGCACACAGGAGAGGTACATTTTCTAAGGGCATCTTGGAAGAACATGGCTAGGTACTAAAACAGCTGCCCATGCCCATTTTGACATTAAAAAGTGTAAATTATATGGATTGGTGTGAGTCAGGCTGGTCATGTACTGGCAATGCTAAGAACCATTTTCATCCCCTGTTGTTGGTTCCCTCTATCATTTGGGATTAAGGGGGTTTTGGGTTTGATTTTTTTTGTTCTCCCATTCCTTCTTCTCTCTCCACAAGCAGGGGACATCATTAAGATTGTCAGGTTACCTTAGCAGGAAAATAGCTGGTATGTTTCCCTCAGGACTTTTCATGCATATCAGTAAACTGAAAATAAAAAAGGGACGGTCTCATTGATAAGGACAACCTGAGGTCAGAAAGATGAGGGAGACAGCCATCTGCCCATTATTTAGGAGAAATGCAATCATAATCATTCTCTTAGGCACCTGTAAGGCCCTTGCAGGTGAAAAAACCTACTGCTTTTCAAGGCAGCACAAATGCTTGACGTGCTGCAATAGTTAATGAACAGGGATATTGCATGGGCAACCTTTATCATACTACATGTTGTAATTAAAGTAATTATATTGAAAAGGAAATGACTCTTCAGGTGTTTTTTCTGATTAGATGAGGTCCTGGGATTTGCCCAGAGTGTGTAAATCAGGGCTAATACAATCCCTGTAGAATGCTGACCAGTAAATTAAACTGAAAATAAAAGCTGAAAAAGAACAGCTTCCTGAGCAGCATACAACAAAGATGGGCTGGGTCCAAGACTTAGTATGTATTATCAGTACTACAGGTATCCCTGTTGTCTCCTAATAAATGTGCCACAGGACAGTGTGAACTTTGAGACACAGTGGCACAATAGTTTTCACACTGAAGGACTGGACATAATTTTCTTTTCCCTGCTCTTAACTGCTAAATAGTCAGAAGGCAAAAAGAATCTAATTAGAGATGTGAAGGTTTGGAAAGGAAACAGAAAATTTCAAGAAAAACCTCCTGCTTCCAGTCTGCACCACAGTGTTTGAGCAGCTGTCTGCCATGGAAAAATGGAAAAGAAACTTCCTGGGGGTTTGGGTTTCTTCCTCCTCTTTTATCCCTTCTGAATAATATTAAGACTGAGCAGTTGGACTTGTTCTTATACAAATCTTCAGTCTAATGAAGTACATAAAAATCAGGTTAAAATTTCAGTCAACAGTTCTAGTAGTTTCAGACTGGTTTATAAGTGCTCAGAAGAAAAACTTGACCTATGCCAATATTTCAAAAAGCATAATTGAAATGCTCTGCAGGACAGTCAGTGATTGTGATTATGATGTTGACTGTGATTATGACCTTCTAGATAACACGCACTATCAAAGAGGCTGACCTTAGGCTGACCTAAATTTGGGCTTTATATCTAAAGCTACTTTTGGTCAATAGGATAGAGTTGTAACAACTCTGTTAAAAAAAATTATTTTCAAACAGCATTATGTTGTGAGGCATCCACTGACACAAAATTTCTGAACCCTCTAAATTTTCCCTCTTTGTTTATTTGTCAGTAATGGATGGGGTTTATGTTTATCCATTCCTTTCTTCTCACTTTTTACCTTAAAATCATGTCAATTAAGAAAACATGTATTATAGTGCACTGCAGGAGAAGGGGCTGTCATGATTCAAAGTAATCAATTCACATGTATTTATTTTACAGTTTTATCAAACAGTAATTTTTATATGCTAGCTAAATAATTCACTATATATTTATATGTTAGCTAAATAAAAGATTCCTCATCTGTAATGGAATAAGTGCAATTTAACTCTGTTTACTAGGTGGTCAATTACTAAATATATGCTATTTTACCCTCATAAATAAAGATGAAATACTGTGATTAAGACTAAGACTTCCAGTCCTTAAATTTCCAGCACTTACACATGTCCTGTTCTTTTTTTTTTCCTACTGTCCCTTGAGTCATCATTCATAATCAAAGAGGGTGCTGATGCTACTGGGTAAGAGAAATATCATTCAAAAAATGAGAGATGAAAGAATTACCCAGTAGAGGAGAGGAGTAGAGGAGAACCTGGTCTATTTCTCCCTGTCACTCATTCACCTGTGCTCCCCACTGTCTAGGGAATAGATAGTTTGATAATATCTAATCTTGGAAAGACAGAATATCATTTAAGACTTTTCTTTGTTGTCAAAACTGGGTGCTTCTGCCTTGGGAGTAACACCAGTTGTTGGCCTCCAACTGTGACACTCCCAAAGGCAGTGCAGTGAAGACCTGATATAAGGCAGCTCCAAGAGCCACACTCTGCCCATGGCTTACCTCCTTTAAGCAACTGTGAGACCCATTGGGCCTTGTTTCCACTAGCTTTTCATGGAAAAGACCTTCAAGATCATTGAGTTCAGCCTCTGACCAACACCATGTCAACTGAACCATATCACTAAGTGCCATGTCCAGTTGTTTCTTGAACACTTCCAAGGGTGGTGACTCCACCACCACCCTGGGCAGCCTCTTCAATGTCTGGCCACCTTTTTAGTGAATAAATCCTTCCTGGTGCCCAACCTCACTATCTCCTAGTGCAGCTTGAGGCTGTGTCCTCTTCCCCTGTTATTGGCTGTCTGGGAGAAGATGTCCCACCTCACAACAACCTCCCTTCAGGCAAGTGTAGAGAGCAAAAAGGTCTCCTGGGAGCCTCCTGTCTCCAGGCTAAACATCCTCATCTCCCTCAAGCTACTCCTCATAAGACTTACTTTTTTGATTTCTATTTTCACAATATTTCTCTTACTGGAAAAAAAATCGCCAAACCTCTTTTTGGTGGCAAGGACGGCACAAAACTTTAAATCCTCTGCTGCAGCTAAACATAACCAATGTTTAAAGTATTTTGCACCTTAAAAGGACGCATTTCACTTTTTCAAGGTCACTAAATAAAGATGGATTGTGACCGGAGAGAGAACAACACACGAGTTCCAGATGTCTGTTCTAAAGCTTTTCTCCCATTAGGAGATGGGCTTTCCCTTTTGCAAAATGCAGATGCATGACTGGGCCCAGAGCCACCTCCCTTCCTCACACACGTCACACACACGGACCTTGAACATCACCTGAACACACAACTCCCACAGAAGTCAGCGAGCACAGGTAAACTCAGCCCTCAGATATTTATTGCTTGTCTAGCTCAGCATCACATCATATACCTTGGGCCTGGTCCTACAGCTGCTGCAGTGAACCAGTTTTCCTGGGTTCCCCCTGGATGGGCTATAACTAATGAACAGTCCCAGAGCTGATCCAGCTTTGACCAATAGGTTGGATTACAAACCTCCTCAGAGCTCTTCCAACCCAAATTTTCCTATGGTCCAAATGTACAGGTTCCATGGATCTAACTGCAAGGGTAAGAAAGGGTGGAAGGAAAGATGAGCAGTACAGAGACAGGTTTAAAGCACAGCTGATGACAATTTCTTATCTTTCAAGCATCAGATTGTTTGTGCTAGAAACTCCTACCTCTTCTTCCTGAATGTGAAATCAAAATTAAGTAACTGATTTTTGCTACAGATTTCCCCAGGGATTACTTGTATTCTAGAAGGTGGAAAGACAAGACAGTAGAACTTTGTTGGAAATAATTTATCATTTGAGTCCTTATACTCCAAACACACATAAACACAAGAGTTTTTCATCTGAAGTCTGAGCAACTGTCCTGTTTGTCCAGTTGTGGGGTACGTTTTCTTTGGAAATTTAGTTAAGAGGTTTACAAACCATTTATTTAATTTGATGTGCCTGTGTGCAAGACAGGGTACACAGTTTTGGGCAGGGATTTTTGAACCTAAAGTGAATTGTTTCCTCAGCAACTGTATTCCTTGGAAACAGAAAACTTTCCAAAAGAGGTCTTTGCACCGGCAAATACGCGCAGCTCCGTGAAAGCCTGAGAGTCTGCAGGGCACTGCTCTAGCATTTCAATCGCACTTGGAAAACAAACCTCAAAAAGCCAGAAACTACTGGCTCTTTCCTCTGTGTTTGGCCAGTAGCTCTTTTAATGATTTCCAGGAGAAAAAAATCCTGGCTTTTTTCTGTCCCAAAGCCCTTCTGAATACCTGGATTCCTCAAGATGGAAACACGATCCTGTTATCTTAAACAGATATGCATTTCCCCTGAAAAGCCCCCATGTATCTGCTGTTACCTTGATCTCCCTTCCCCTCAGGGTCTCCCCTGCAACTTCAGGCCACCCTTTTCGCAGCGGGGCGGACACAAGCCCTTCCCATCCCTTATTTTGGCTCTTCGCTCCTCACCTGGGAAGCCCCTGTGGGCGCAGCCCCCTCGGCGGGGCACAGCGGCGGGATGGGCTCCGGGCCCGCACTTGTTGCGGGGCCGGGGCTGCGGCAGCGCCGCCGGCAGCTCTGGTGGCGCTGCCCGCCGGGCCGGGCGCGGAGCCGCCGAGCGCGCTGCCCACCCTGTCCCGGCAGGATTTACCCTGTCCCGGCAGGGTTTACCCTGCTCGCCATGGGCGCTCTCCGCTTCCCGTCCCCGGCTTGAGCGTCACGGGGAGTGCTCGGAACCCGCGAGCAGTTTTGGTTGGGAATGCTCGCGTCTCTGTTGGTTACGCGTTTAACTTACGGCGGAATCTTTATTCTTGCTCGCAGCAGCTCTCTGTAAGCGCGTTATGTGAAGTACGTACGACAGCTACGACACCAGGCAAAATCAAGGTTCCTGCAATTACAGGTAATTTGTGACACGCCTACAGATGTGAAGAGAGCTGCGGGGAGGTAAACAGCTTGCATCAGTAAAACTGACAGGTCCTGTGAGCGTCTGATCACACGCTGGAAACATTCCTTAGAATTACAGGGGGAGTAGGAAATGAGGTGTGAGTCAGAAATAAATGTATTTCTGAGTATCGGGGCTGCATAAGATCGCACAAAGAATGAGTACTTACAGCCTTAAATAAAACATGAAGGATGTGCTGGAGTAAGGACAGGAGTTCTTACTTACTTACAGCTTAGTGCCTGGCACTAGCTAGGAGCTGGGCATGTTTTGGGCATGACTGGCTTCTCCGTCATCGGGCTTTCCTAGATTGGGTGTTACTTTCACAGTCTCTCATGTTGAAGAATATCTCCCCTGTTCTCAACAGAGGAAATTATTTCCTTGTCTTTTATCCCATTAGTTTTCACCATGTGGTCTGAAAATACTTTTGAGACAACAGACAAAGGGTTGCAAGAAGGAAGTGGCCTTTTGTCTTAAGAATGCTCTTTTAAACCCAGGTTTTATAACTTTGATGATTAATCGATGTGTCCTATATGAAATACTGAGGGTTTGGGTCCAGATTTGGTTTGGGATTGCCACAGCGTATGTGTGTACACTGAGTCAAAGGCAGAATAAATATATTTTCATCCTGAATTTTGTTAAAGGAGTTATGTAATTTTTAACGTTTCTTGGCCTCCACTGCTTAGCCTGGAATCCCTGCTTACCAGACACATCCTTTGAGGAGCCCCAGAGAAAAGACAGTGGGCAAAAGGAATTGCGTGTGATTGGGTTAGATCTACCTTAGAGAGCAAGGCAATGGTGGACAAGCCTCAGCCTGGAAGGAAGTGATATCTCCATGTGTCCATCTCCAGCTAGGCACTGCAATGTAAATTTCCAGGTGGGCTTTTCAGCACATTTCCAGAGCCATGAGATTACATCTGTGCTGCATGTGTCAGTGTTTCTAGACTACTTCAGATGGTCCCCAGAACTGTCAGTCTCATAACTGGTAGGATTACGTATCTCAGAGCTTATCAATGGAACTGTAAAACCCCATGAATTAGCATACTTCTCTGGAAAAATTGATTGTCTTCTGACAGGGCCAGTTTTCTCAATTTGCTGAAGCTATGCCTCTGACAGCGTTGCTGTTTTGCGTCCCTTGGTGCACAACCCAGGTAGATTATTTGGGCAGCCTCATTTTTTTTTTGTACAGAAAAAGTAATTGTACATTGGAAAATGTATAGCAGGCTATCTTAGTAGCTGGAAAAATAACAGCACTTTGAGTTATATGTGCAAGTTCGTAATGGTCGCTGCATAACCTCCGTGGGTACTTGTGAGTAAAGGAGATGCTTTTACAAGTTGATTATTGTGAACACTTCCAGTTAAATCAGTGGTCCCAGACACTGTGTGAAACAGGAGCATGGATTGAAGCTGTTTTTTCTTTTATTGTTTTCCTTTGTTCTGTTCCTTGCTGATTTTACTTGTTACTTAATGATGACTGATGAGGTATCTGGAAGGAAAACTGTGACTCTTACCTGGCTAAATACCAGTTTGTGTAAGGAAAAGTTTGAAGTGATGATATATAAGGTGAGAAAACGTACTGTCAAAACAACAGGAATCGTAGAAAAAGAGAAGCATGTCTCCTGTTAGTTGAAAAAAGAATGTTGAAACTAATTATATTCCTTATCATATACCTGCATTTCTTCCTGTAATAGAGTTTTAAAAAGGAAAGAGTTACTTTGGTCTTTACTCTTGATGAATGAAATAACAAAATACATGCTCAAGGAAAGCTACAGTGCAGTGTAAAATATTCGTGTTTATAAGATTAATTAATGTTTCCAAAAGGGTTTGAGTTGTGTGTGAAAGAAGACAGAGGCTTGTTAATTTTAGAAGAAAGGAGAGGCTTGCAGAGAGAATGTAGACATGTGCCTAGATGGAGGGGGATAGAATTAGGAATTAGGTAACAGGCTTTAAAGAAAAAGCTACATTAAAAAGTCATAACTAAGAAGTTATTTTGATGACCAGAAGCAGGGTGCAGTATCTCTAAAACTTTAAGATATATGGGAAATAGGACATTTGTATCAACAGAGACACAGTTCTCGGGAATTCCGCTTTCTTCTAAAGAACCGTAAGCACACTTTGAAGGAAAGGTTTGCAGGGGGAAATGGCTGAGACAGGCTAAACTCCAGTAGGACTTGTGCTGTCTTGTTGTGCCTTCAAGTGTGACCTTTTGTGCAGAGATGTTCTGGAGGATAGGAATCTCCAGTTATGCTTGCAGGCTGGTGAAATAGGTATGAATGTTTTCAAGCATTGGAAAATGACTTAAAACTTACATGAGGACATGAATATGGGACAGTCATAAGGGTGTCATTGTGGGCAGAAACTGAACCCTTAAATGCTCTTGATATTTAAATAGCATAATTTTTTAATAATCTTTAACTACATACAAATTGGGTCTTAATCTGTTGGGTTTCTCTGGATTTCATGCTGGGTTTAATTAGAGCAAAGAATGCCTCCTGTTTTCCTGAACTTGAGTAGAAGGAAAGAACAATGCTTGCAGTGTTCAGACCTGCAACTGCAGAGGTTTCCTGTTCCTGATTAGTCTTTGCCTGTTCTTGTGTCAAATCAGATATACTGAATCCCTCTGTCGTGGCTCTTCTCTCCAGTTTCCACTCTGATCTGGAGATAGGTGTTCCGAACAAAGTTTAAGAGCTACTAGAGAGAATTGTACAGGCTTTTGTGGTTGTTAGGCTGCTCCTTTGATCTTTGTCAGCTTTTTAGGAAAGATGTTGCTGATATTCCAGAGTCTTCCAGCTGCATACTCCTTGATGTTTTTAATATACTGCTGTAAAATTAAAATAGCTGGAAGCTACCTGTTAAAGGATTTTAGTTGTCTAAGTTCAAAGCTTTGTCTCCTTGTATTTTGAACTCTGCATTAAAGCTATAGCAATGTAGGGAGCTGCATTCTTTTTCAGGTGTCAGAAATATGCTGGATGATTGAATTCAAGGTTGGTGCTTCCAACTTTGAACTGTTACTTATCTGTCTTGGTCCATTGAGCCTGTGAAGCTTGTAATTGCAGTGGAGCGTTTCAGGAGAACAGCCCTGTGAGATGGTGAGATTTTTCTTATCTCTAGTTTAATGTCTGGGAAACTGAGGCATGGGGCAGACTGACAAATTAGGTAGGAAGTCCGAGCAAGTTAGCAAGCGATTGCTGTAGCCTGTGTACCCACCTTTCTTGGTGAAATGAAAGGATGATGTCTTGTGGAAGATGTTAATCTGTATTTATTAGAAGCTTTCTTGCTTCAGCCTTGACAGTGCTGCTGTTCTCGTAGTACAGCACCAAAACTAGCTCAGCAGTAGGAATAACAAAATCTACACACTGGCAATTACGTGCTTGCTGTAAACTAGATGCCAGGTTGGCAGGGTGGAGGCATGGTGATGCAAAATTGCTGAAACCCAGACTAGTGTGTTCTTCAAATCTGAGTAATGACACAGCATTATGCAGCTCTGGGACACCTTGGTGCTGGTTACCACCTCCCCCTATGAGCCCCTGCTCCAGTGCAGCTGTTGAGATCAACACATGAAGGGAAAGTTGTCTCAGCAGCACTTTTGAATGCATGTTGGATGTGCAGCAGTACTTCTTGAGGAAAGTTGGGTCGTAAAATAATTTCAGTAATGATTTTACATTTGTTAGTTTAGATGTTCTGAAGCTTTTTGGTGGCAACAGTTCTGCATTAAACTGCTGCTCTTGGGTATGTGAGTTGCCTTTGTCCCCAGGTGGGGGGTGAGCAGGGACACCTGAGACCAGTGCTTTTTGGCTTAAAGATTATCTTGGTTAACACATTCCCACGAGGGATAAAGTGACTTTTTTCTTGGCAGTCTGCTGATCTTTTATCAGTATCTGGATGCACTGCTGAAAGTGGTGGAAAGTGAACCCAAACTGGTAATTCCTGGTACACTGTATGCTAAAATTCTGATGGAAGTGGAGTCATTGTGAACACCCTCTAAATTTCTGTGTAAATCCAGTGCAGTAAGTAAATTGGTAACCAAACTGAAGGTGAGAAGGGTATAATCATAGCCTGAATTTGTGCATAAATTAGGGGTCTGTGGGCCTCTTCTTGAATGGGCCTCCTAGATGTTCCTGTAGCATAAGCAGATACTGGAATACTTGCTTGTGACCTTTTTTTTCCTTGTGATTTTCACAATCACCATATATGTATGTGATTGAGACATATCATCTGTTGCTTTTATACCTTCACTGTATTCCAGCTGTGGATTTAGCCACTGAGTAATGAATTTCCAGTATAGCGGTCTTTAACAAAGGGAAAGGGTGTCTGTTAACAAGCTAGCTGGACTCAAACAGGGGAGCTCAGTGATGATTGTCCTCGGTGTTGTGAATTGCAGGGATTTTCACTGAGTGTATGCCCCATGCTGTGATTGCAGTTTAATGTAGGCTTACAGGAGCTAGCTTTAAAGTAGAAGGCAATCTAACCATGGCAGCACAGAGCTCAAAATACTGCCCCTGAGCTGTAGAACTACATAAGGAGTTAAGCTGTAGTTCTTCTCTTGCTGCTGTCTAGCTTTCTAGTGGGGGGAAAATAAAAACCTACAAAACAACAAAACCAAACCCCAGATAAAACACCTGCTTAGGTGACTATGTTGTGTGACCATACAGAACTGTTTCCCTTGTAACTTAACTTTTCAATCAAGCGTGGTGATCTTTTGTGATTGTTTTTAGCTGTAACAACCATATCCCACTGACCTGCAAAAACTTCTCTAATTGTTGAAATGAAACAGAAGGTGCTGCTAGTAGTAGAACAGATACCTGTGTGGAGACTTGGAAAAGCTTATTTTCATGCCCAGCTGCAATTTTTGTGAAAGAGTATTTAACATTTAATGCACTCCCCCATTAGAAATTATTCTAAATGCTTAGTTACTCAACCTCGCTAACTTCAGCTGTCTTTTCTTCCTTTATAAGCAATCCCTGTCCTCATTCCTACTTTATATCTTCCCCCAAAATTCACCTAAGTTTTCATGTCTTTAATGTGTTCTTGCAGAGTTCTGTACCAGCAAACTAGGTAAGTCCTTGGCTGTCTACATACTATTATTTCTGTAAGCATTTGGCAGGATTTCCTCACATAGAAATAGTATCTGGACTGGCCCTATAAAAATAGGATTTACCAACCCATTAAAGGGATGTAATGTTCCTGCTTTCTTCTGTGGTCAGCAAGACAGTTAATGTTTTACTTGCTAGTGAAAAGGAAAGCAAGTATTTGAAAGAAAGATAACCTATGCTCACGGTTCTAGCTTTTGAGTGAGTAAAGAGTAAATGAGCCATCACATCAGTACAGGTAGCCCTGATGGGGTGTTTAGTTGGGGTGATCTGCACTGGTGGCTGTAGTTGTGTGAAGGGCCATACTTGGCTAACTTAAATTCTGCTTGGATCACTGTGTCTGTTTGTTGGAGAGGGGAGGACACTTTGGCAGTGTCTGAATTGTCTTTACTGGATCCTCTAAGTTACATTGAGGGGAACTGTTTGAAGCCAGCTAGTAGGAAACACTGTGGCCAAAGTATTTGGATGGCATTCAGGCTGCCTGGATATGGCACTACAATCTTTCAGGGAGAAGATAGACTTCACTGGTGTCTGGTCATGCCTTTAGCACTCTGGAGTAGTCCAAAAGTCAAATGACTCTCTACCAATGTCAAAACAAGCCTGAGAGGCTGTGAGCAAGAAGGGGCAAAGGTTGGTGACTTGCTCAGCAAGCAGTGGGAAGAAGAGTGGATGGTGGCAGGAGGAGCTGAAGAGGTAGCTGGAAGATTTGGTAAGGTGTGTGGGAAGGGTGAAGGGAGGAGTGTTTGGGCGGATTGGAAAGACAGAGGCTTTTTTGGAAGGGAGAGGAGATGTCACCAGGAGACTCTGGACAAAAGACTGCCTCTTCAAAGTGTGATGGCTTTTTTCTTCTTTCTTGGTCCTGATACAGACATGTCTTTGCTGTAATTGCAGCACAGATTTTTGGCTTAACAAGCACAATATACTCTCAGAGAATATGGAGCAAGTCAGATGAAGAGGAGTGTTGCCAACCCCTCTTTCCTGCTGACTGTTCATTCTTACATTCTCATGCTTTGCAATTTGCAGCCTGGGGTGTTTGGTGGGGGGGGTGGGGTTTGTTTGGTTTGGGGTTTTTTTGTTGGTGGTTTATTTTTTTCATTTTGGTTGGGTGTTGTTTTTTAATGTAGCTGTCCTTTTCAGATGATCTGTGGGTCTGTACAGTTAAGCATATTGATTAAATGGATCATGTTTAAAAAAACCAAACCAACCAAAACATACTAGTCCTGGGAAGAACTTATGGATGAGTTGCCTGCTTTATAATGCACCTCCACAAAGTCACAGGACATGAGCTGTGTGACCTTAGCAGAAAACAGAACTAGGGGAGCTTCTTGAGCTAACTATATGCTGGGGAACTTGTATTTTGAATGTCCTCCTGCACAAGGAGGAGGAAACAAATCCATGTGAAGTTATAACAAAATGGCACATCTCGCTGCACACACACTACTGGCGTGCAGCAAGATGTGAAGCTAAGAAATGGGGCTTATGAGGAGCAGATACACAGGTTTCACTTCACAGCCTTTTCACCCTAAGAAGATGGAATGACTGAGAAGAAAGTAAGGACTCTGGTGGAGTTACAGGATAGGTGGATAATGTGTGTAATAACACAGTCTGCTTGGTGCTAGTCTTCTAGAGGATTTATTTTCAAATACTCATAAGTATTTCTAGTTATAGTATTTAGTTGTGGTATCATTTTATAAGTACTGTAATTGCCATATGTGTGTAATAGTAACAGGACACTTAAAATTGTAACTGTCCATCTGTTTAACAATGCAATAATTGCGAAGGAAAATTCTGAAAGAATTTTCTTCAATCAGATGGCAGAAAAGGGGTAGAAACTGTTAAAAATCCAGCTGATATGTTTAGTAAGGATGTCTGGTATTAAGGATTGTTCCTGTATCCTCAGTGTACTCATAGGGTTGTTAGCCCTAGAGACTCTGTAACTGTATGCTAATGAAAAAATAATCTTCTTGGAAAAAATAGCCTAGTAGGATAGCAAGGTAAATCTGTTTCTGTGTGGTTTCAGTCAGATACAGAGGAAATAGCCTGAAGGAGGCTCAGGAAAAGTTCTCTCCAGTCTGGAGGAGATCTTGGATCTTCTCCTTGGTTTTCACCTCTTGGAGTATAACCCCACACAGTCAACCAGCAGGATGTGAGGGAAATGTAGTTTATGGAACTAGTGAAGGGAGATTCACTTTAAATCCCATTAACTCAAGGAAAAGACACCACTGTGTTGTGTAACAATTCAGTGTCCTCATTTTCTCTGGTTTGTTGTGTACTTTGATACTCAGTCAAAGCATGTGGCCTACTGATTATATGTATCTCACCATAAACCAGGAAGGTTTTTGACATTACTCAGAATGGGAGTGTGATGTGAAAGACAACTACAAAATAGTGTCGTCATTTTCTTCCTCATGCAGTGTGATCCAGCTCAGAGTCAGGAAAATCTTGTGATTGATATGATGACCTTTTGGCCAGTAGCTGCTCTTTAAAGCAACTTTGAAAAGATGATTTTGCTTATTGGCGTCTTGTGCTGTAAATGCCAAAGAAATATGTGCTCTGAGATAGAAACAAATTCACAAAGTTGTGAAATAAAAACCTCATGAGTAATTTCAGAATCAAGAGATCTGTGAGCACTCTTAGAGGGTCCTGGCTGATAGGCAAGAGATGCTAGTTTCTTGAAGACACAGTAGTTTGCAAACTAATTTTCTGTAAATCCATCTGAAGTGGAAGGGTGTGGGAAGATGGGCTGAAATGCCTCTGAATGCTCTCTGTGAAAAGCTCTTTGTGGAAGCTGCAAAAACTCAGGCAATTGTGGTGTTCCTGAGGAGACCAGAAGGTGAAATCCTTAATTCATTAGTCATAGTACTTTGAAACTCACCTCCTGGAAACTATATTCTTCTGTTGAAAAAGTCTCTGAGCTACTGCTGGCTTGTCTGAACTCTTCAAATGTTGACTATAGCACTCTCCCAGCCTCTGAAATATCTCCCCTAACCTAGGACTAATGAAGTCTGTGTTATGAGAGGAAGAAAACTCCAACCTGACATGTATTCACAAAGGAGGAGTCCTTATCCATTTACCCTAGGCCCTTTTTGTAGTTAATGGAAAGAAAAGTGATTTTGATATGAATCTTAAGCATTGATTTTAAATGTCCAGCTCAAGGAGATGGATAATGAGGATTTTGCCTTCATTGCTTCAAGCTAGTGTGAAGTTTGCTTTGACTAAGAATGCAGTCACACTTTAACTGGTGAATGCAGGTTATCCAGACCTTCTCATGGAAGGTGCAGAGCATCAGCAGTAGTTGCTCAAGGTCTGTCTTTATTGCGGGAATGTACTCAAATCATTATTTACACTCTAAAGATAAGGATAAACCAATTGGCTTTGATTTATATAGGAATTCTCTCTAACATGTTTTTTAACATATCAGCCAAAAGTAAGGTAGATGTTATCTTCTATCATTTTGTTACTGTTATCAAGCTACTAGAAGTCGTATCTTTTCATTTAAGGCTGTGTTCATTGTTTTCCCATCTTTCTTACTTAATGTGGCATTGGCAAATACACCTAGGAGTCAAATGAATGTGGTGCTGTGTGTGTAATCCAGTATGAAATACTACCTGCTGATATGTGATTAGGTTATCATGTATGACTAGTTGTAGGTAAGCCCAGTGCGTCAACAAATGTTACCACAGCCAGTGGATGTGCTACAATTATGATATTGCCTTTATTTTAAACCACATGCTTGCTGGTATTTGTTTCCTGTCTTGATTAATCTTAGTTTTGTTTCGTCTTAGGTCAGAGGATTGAAACAAGACAATGGATTGGGGAGCTCTGCATACCATTTTGGGAGGTGTAAATAAGCACTCCACCAGTATCGGGAAGATATGGCTCACAGTCCTCTTCATCTTCCGTATCATGATCCTGGTTGTGGCTGCAGAGAGAGTCTGGGGAGATGAACAACAAGATTTTGTCTGCAACACACTTCAGCCCGGCTGCAGGAATGTTTGCTATGATCACTTTTTCCCCATCTCTCACATCAGACTCTGGGCCCTGCAGCTGATCTTTGTCTCCACACCTGCGCTGCTGGTGGCCATGCATGTGGCTTACAGGAGGCATGAGAAGAAAAGGCAGTTCAGAAAAGGAGATCAGAAATGTGAATTCAAGGACATTGAAGAAATTAGGAAACAGAGGTTTCGTATTGAGGGCTCCTTGTGGTGGACATACACCGGCAGCATCTTTTTCAGACTGATCTTTGAGGCTGTCTTCATGTACGCGTTTTATTTCATGTACGATGGGTTCCGAATGCCTCGCTTAATGAAGTGTAATGCCTGGCCCTGCCCCAACACTGTAGACTGCTTTGTTTCCCGACCTACTGAAAAGACGGTGTTCACTATTTTCATGATTGCTGTGTCCAGTATTTGCATTCTTTTAAACGTGGCTGAATTATGTTACTTACTGACAAAGTTTTTCCTCAGAAGGTCTAAAAGAGCTGGAAATTCGAAAGAGCAGCCCAACCATGAGAATAAGGAAGAAACCAAACAAAATGAAATGAATGAGTTAATATCTGATAGCTGCCAAAACACAGTTATAGGGTTCACAAGTAGCTAAAGTGGTGTCAATGCTGATGCTCACTCTTTTTGGAGTGAATGTTTCGTTTAAAGGCTGCAAATGAAATTTGTTGTATGAAACAAAGTTGGGTGAGGTTTTGATGCATAGTGTCAGATGTCGAGTAGGTACATGTGTGGGAAAAGTCAGGGCAGCCTAAACATGTGAAAATTGTGTGAGGATTAAATAGGAAGGTACACTTTCCTGTGAGTACCCTTACAAGCTGACTATGACAAGTGGGAAGCCCACTGCTCCCTTCATGCTGACACAGCTCCTGAAAACTAAATGCAACAGCAATAAGAACAAAACTCTTTCCAAGCTAGGTATTCTAGTATTACAAGATGTTTTGTAATAGTGATAGTTTTTACTTGTGAACTGATGATTAAAATATTTTTCTAAAATCTAAGATTCCATGTTACTTAAGGTGTTATAGTACACAACTGTGTTTTATTCTTAACCAGGCACATGCAGATGAACCCTGTAATACCATATTCATAGGGAGGAGATGGCAATAGGCTACATACATCTTCACAGCTTGCAAGTGCTGCTTGAGTCTGGGCAGGTAGCTGGAGATGCTTGCATACACACTGCTGGCTGTAGGGGAATTGTATGAAAGCCTACCAGTGTGGATAATTGAGATACCTAGATTCTGAGAACAAACTCGTGCCTAAAAACAGCACAAAAATATAGTTACAGCCTATGTAGATTTGTTTAAACAGCTAGCAGACCTGGTCATCTTGCTGATCTCTTTATTGCATACTGTCAGTTTTATAGCAACTTGCATAAGTTTATGTAGATGTTTATTTCTCTAATGTATTAGCTTTGTTTCTTTATACTGTATCACATCATGGAACTTTTTGGGTTTTGATTTGTTTGCTTTTTTTGTAGTAGACTGATGGTGCTGTTATGAGACTTGAGTCTGTCTGGTTTCAAGGACATGGAAAAGTATTCCTGGAAATGGAGCAAGTCTTCTGAATAAAAGGCAAACACTTTAACCTTTCTTAGTGAAGTGAGAGTCTATATGTGAATGCTAGGCAAGATTTTAAGTAGGAACTTATAAAAAACTTTTTCAAGTTGAGATTCTACATCCAAAGTGTGTATAACCCCCTAGGAACCCCTCATTCCCATCCAGGGCACTGATGCCCTAATTCTGTTGTCCATATTCTAATGGAGACAGACAGGAAACTCTGAGTGCATGGCATTATGTGGCTGTGGGAGGGATGTGCTTGGGAAAGCAGGGGAACCTGAAAGAACCTGAAAGTCAGAGGTGGGTGCAATGCAAAGCAGCTATATTGTCATGTGTGCTTCCTCTTTTGGGCTACTTCTCACCATCACAGGTACACTGACCTCGGTAGAGCTAAGTTTTGGGGGGTTGTTTGTCTGTTGTCATTTTACAGATGTATTGGCCTCACTATTTTTGTATAATGGAACTACTCTTCCGAGGTGCAGAACAAAGAGCAGGCATCCTTAGGAGCAGATATTGCAGTGCCCTTTCCTCCTGCTGTTGTATCACACTTCTTACAGGTGCTAGCACAGCTCTGTGTGTGTCCATGCTTCAGTAGAGGGCTTCAGTGGATTGGTTGTTTTATTTGTGACTAGTAAAACCCTAACAGGGAGCAAGCACAAGCAACAGGAGAGAGAAAATACCTAGTCAGCTCTGTCCCTGCATGAGGGCCTGAGCTGAGCCCTGCCATTTATCTATTCTCTTCCACTGGCAAACTCCTGATCTTTCCTGCCTTCACAGCACATTTTCTTTTTTAATCACTGTTGTGAAAAGAAATTGCTGCTAGTCTTCTGAATGTGTCTACCAGCAAGCTCGAGGAAAAAGTATACACAAGTATAGTATACTCGTGCATATTATTCTCTCTGCAAATTTAAGGAAGCTGATCCCTTAGGGTCAGGAAGGTGGGTGCTCAGGCTGTACCTTGCTGGATCACTCCCCAGGTGCACAAGCAGAGTGGTGGTTCCAGGGTACGAAGATACAGCTAATTCTCTTCCAGGACTTTTTCATGAAACAACTTGAGACTGGACTTTCATCTGGGTCATCTGTGAATCACATACCATATTGTGACTATAAATGGAGATCAGATAATAATTATGCTTGACTGTGTCTTACCTCCTTAGTAATCAATTTGAAATTGCCCTATGCTGAATGCCAATAAACCTGTGAAATACTTTGAGGTAGATATGTTTTCCTCAAATGGAGGAGGAGTAGTTTTTCTTGGTCTATGATAATATGCAGGCCTGCAGAACCCCAAATGGTGATATGATGATAGCTCTCTCTGTGGTTTTTCTTTTCCTGCTCAGAAGTTTTCAAACAGTGAGTTCCATTCCAGCAGTTAATTTTTTCTAGAATGTCAGTTCCATGGCTGCTTTTCTTTTCATCCTGGGTAAGTGGGCAAAGTTTCAATGAATAAATCTGTCGTCCTTTGTAGGCCAGCACAAGTCTGTGTGTGGCCGTGCTGTAAATGGGTTTGGGGTGGCTGGACATTTCCTGTGTGGTAGCAGGACCTGGTAAGGTGCAGTCTGACAACACTGCCCTGTTGCTGCGGTGCCCTGGCAGCCAGACGGGTTGGGAACAAGTGTGCCAGTCCCTGTTGAATCTGCACCAAGGGCAGCTGTAAATCAAAGAGCCAGAGCTGGTCCAAGGCTTCACTAGCACTAAGCTATTGATCATCTCAGCAGGCAAGACCAGTTGTGACTGATGTGTTTGGCTGAAATATTTCTTCTCATTGTATGTTCAGCCCTCATTATGAACGCTTTCCTCTGAAATATCCCTAATTTCTGTTGCTGCCAAGGTAAAGTCCCTGACAGTTTCAGTGCTCTCTTTAAATTATTCCCAATAGATGGCACCATGATGAAACAACAGCTTTAGTGACTTGTTTCTCCAAGTCAGCTTCCCCCTGCCTGCTGCATTTTGTGGCCTCGGTAGATGGTAGAGGAGGCAGCAGTGTTTAGTAGGGTCGCAGTTAACCCTTTCTGCAAGGAAAAGCAGAGCTGCTTTTCTTGGTTTCCAACTTCCTGTGCCTTTCCCTGCTGGCTGAGGCTGGCTGGGCTGCTCTGAGCTGCAAAGCACGCCTGCCCCCAGCCATTCTCTTTGCCCTTGCTCCTGCCCTGCAGCTCTCCCTCTGGGAGAGGGTCTCTAAATCTCTGACCTACTGGTGACTGGTTTATGCTGTGCTGGCACCACCATCCTCCCGTGGTAGTTCAGCCAGTTTTCTCTGATGGCAGCTGGCTCAACTGTCTCTGCCCATCCCTGCTGCTGTTCCCCACCCTGTGATTTCTCCTTTGTTATGCCTGGGGCAGAGATTGCTTAAATTGGTTTTGGTGCCAAACAATTAATCAGAGCCTCTGGAAAAGCTCTCTTGCAAATTCCCTGCATCCCCTCCCACCTTCTTGTCTTGCTGTCCTTTCAATGGGCAGGAGCTCTGACTGCCTACAAGGACAGCAGCACTGGCTGCTGGACTCTATTCCTGTCATGCACCATGGCCCTTGACTCCAGCACCACTGCAAACCCTGCTCCATCCTTCTCTCACCCCAGCCCCATTGCAACTTTGACTCTGTTTTTCCATTGACCTAGGCCCATCCCAGCAGCCCTGCATGCCAAAGATCTAAAAGCAAATGAGACGAGCTGTGGGATGGTCTGAACCCGCTCTCCTCCTTTTGCACAGGCTGCCTTCCCTGTGCCAGGTGCTGCAGCCATGAGCTCTTTGCTGCCAGGTTAGAGTCACTTTGGCTCTCCAGCCCTTTTTGTGGTGTCTGTTGTGTCAGCCCAGTGCCTCACCCACCCTTGCCCTGCAGGAACATGCTGGGAAGCACTGCCACAGCCAAGATGAGGCAGACCTCTGCTCCTAACTGCCTGGTATGTTTTTCTATTGCCACTGTTATCTGTATTTCCCTTACCAAGCCAAAGCTGTATTACAGTCCTGCTGAAATAAATCTGTTTTATAGAATTATAGAATAGTTTGGGTTGGAGGACACCTTGAGAGGTTATCTAGTACAAACCCATTGCAATGAGCAAGGGTGTCTTCATCTATATCAGGTTGCTCAGAGTCCCATCCAACATGACTCTGAATCTTTCTAGTGATGGGGCATCTACTGTCTCTCTGAACGACCTGTTCCAGTGTTTTACCACTCTCATTGTAACTAATGTCATCCTTATATCTAGTCTGAATCTGCCCTCCTTTAGTTTAAAACCATTACCTTTGTCCTATGGTAAGGGGCCCTGCTAAAACGTTCATCACCATCTTTCTTATAAGCCCCTTTCAAGTGCTAAAAGGCTGCAAGGTCTTGGAGCCTTCCCTTCTCCAGGCTGAACAACCTTAATTCTCTCAGCCTGTCTTTGCAGGAGTGACCTTCCATTCCTCTAATCATTTTTGTGGCCCTCCCCTGGACCCACTCCAACAGGTCCACACCTTTGCTGTTCTAAAGACTTCAGAGCTGGATGTAGCCCTGCAGGTGGGGTCTGAGCAGAGCAGAGGGGCAGAATCTCCTCCCTGCTTTGGATGTAGCCCAGGACACCATTGGCTTCTGGGCTGTGAGAGCACACTGATAGCTCGTGTCCAGTCTTTCACCCTCCAGCACCACAAAGTCCTCTGCAGGGCTGCTCTCAATCCCTTCATCCTATGGATACTTAAGGTTACCCTGACCCAGGCTGCGTTTGTTGAACTTTGTGAGGTTCCCATGGGCCCACTTCTTGAGCTTGTCCTGATCCCTCAGGTGTGTCACTTGAAAACGTGTTGAGGGGGCACTTGATCCCACTGTGTATGTCTCATGTCACTGATGGAGCTACAGAGTATTCTCTGTAGTTGGAAGAGACCCACAAGGACCATGAAGTTCAACTCTTAAGTGAATGGCCCAATTCAAACAGACCACCTTGGTGTTATTAGCACTATGCTCTAACCAACTGAGATAATCTCAGTGGCTTAAATTAAAGGTCATATGGTTTTGAAACTGCCTGCCATGGCAGAGGAAAGGGGATATTAAACAGTGTGGTCCCAATATGGAGGTGGTCCCTGAAGGACACCACCTTTTACCAATTTCTTTTGGGACATTCAACCACTAACCACTCCTTTTTGGATATGACCATCCCAACCTATTCCTCATCTACTGAACAGCAAAGCCATTAAATCCACCTCTCCATTTCAGAGAGAAGGATGTTGTGAGTGGACTGTGCCAAAGGCCTTGCAGAAATGCAGGTAAATGACACCTGTAGCTCTTCCCTAGTCCGCTGCTGTAGTCACCCCACCACAGAAGGCCTCTGGGTCAGTCATGCAGGACTTGCCCTTGGTGAAGCTGTGCTGGCTGTTTCAAATCACCTCCCCGTCCTCCATGTGCCTTAGCACAGCTGTGCTCTCAGAGAGCGTGGCCTCTGAAGCCAGAGGGATTGTCAGGATGAGATCCTACCCCACAATGGCCACTGCTGTCCCCTCAGGCGGGCCCATGGGCAGAGGCCATGTCCACCACAGCGAACTTCTTTGTAGGGACATTGATGGGGCTGCAGTGAGAGCATGCCTGGTGTGGCAGCCTTTCCCCTGCCAGAGGCAGTGTGCACACCCATTTCCCTGAACAGCCCTGTATTATCAGGCTTGTATTTCTCAGCTTAGGCATGTAAAGGTGAATGGCCTCCTCTTCAACATCCACAGAAGCTGAAAATTGGCTTCACAAAAAAAGATGGGGGTGGGGTGCAAATAACATTTCTGCAGGTTCTCACCTGCTTGTCCCTGCATCCCTGACACTTTTTTGGAGTACGACTGCTTCTCCAGCACGCAAGCAGAGCCAGGTGGCTCGGGTGGACTTCTCCAGAAAGAAGCACCCAATGCTGTGATTGACACACAAAGCAATGGACAGGTGGGTCCGTGGGAGGAAAAGACAGGGAGAGGTTCTTGCAGAGCCCTGACTCAGCCATCAAGTCCCAGCAAGGGCTGCAGTCAGCACCGTGTTTCATCCCTGGCAAGAGGCAGGACAGGAGTGCTGCTCCCTGTGCCTTGTCACCATGGCCACCACCTGCCTGAGCTGCTAGGACACCTATCAATGCCAAGATTTGCACTTCAGCCTCCCCACACCCGCCAGTGCTCTGAACATCAGGTTGGCCCTTTCTGCAAGCTTGCAGATATTTCAGCTCCAAAGCTCCTCACTGTCACTCAGCAAATCCCTGTTGATTCCAAGCAGGCTTGGGCCGGGCCCTTAGGAAGGGTGTAACTCCTTAAAAGCACTGCAATTCCACCCAGACGCTTTCTGCACTCCCCTTTTGCAACATCAGTCCCGTTTCACACAGCAGCTATTACCTCCTGGCAGCAGATCTCCATACCGGGTTCATAATTCCCAGCTGAGGCCGTGCCCACCCACTGCCGGCAGGGATGGTGCCCCGGTGCTGGGCAGGCTGAAGGGCCCACACCGATGTGTGGTCATGCTCTCACAGCCAGTTCAGCCACTTCCAGTTTCTCTTGGTGGCTGCAGAAAAGACTTCATTACTTAGAGGAGGAGGGGGACAACTCCTTAGAATGTTCTGGCTTAACAAATCAAGAGTCTTTTTCTCCTGCTGTGTTGGATGTTGGGTAGCCATTTATTTGTGTGTGAGCCCATGAATCAGAGAAGCTTGGGACAGCAAGATCAGTAAAGCAGGAAGGTTTTACACCCTGCTGGCTCCTAACCCAACAGAACTCTTAGTCCATGGCAGTCAGGTTATTTGACTTCCCTCAGACCCAGAGGCAGAGCTGGTCTGCTCCTAACAATCAAGAGCAGCGTGATGCAGCCTTTCTGTATTAGCCAAACCACAGTGGAGTCCTGGCTAATCTAATTTCTCCCAATACTTTACACTACCATCTCCTTATAATTTACATGATGCACCTCTCAGGCCAGTGGCCCATCTCAGTGATGTCTTTGGGACATCTGGGAAATTTATTAAACAACATCTGGCAAGTATTAAACAATGATGACATCATATAAAGCATGATAATGGCCTCAAGAAAGAATCCTCTGATGTCACCTAGGATATGTGAAAAGCCTGGAAAGAAAAGCAACTGGTGCACCCTATGGTCCAGGTAAATCTCCCAGTATGTCCCTGGGGCTAAAGTTCACAACAT